CTGATAGGGGCCCAAGAGGCCTCCGCCTCAGGCCCAGAATTTTAGGGGGATCCTTTTTTTTTTATTTTTTTTTATTTTTTTATTTTTAATAACTCACTATGCCCATGTGTTCAAAAGAAACGAATAAATATTTTAATGAAAAGAGAAGGAATGAACATCAAAAAATTTATTTGTTGTTTTATTGTTGATTTAAGTTAACAAATTTAATTCCGTAAACTTCTAATTTTTTATTTTATTTTTTTAAAAAAGGGATTGTTTACTGCGACTTAGGGCTTAGGGCCCAAATTCCGATGTTCGCCTCAGGCCCCACGAAGCACAGGTACGGCCTGCTTGTAGATTATGAATACGGTGGTTGTGATCACTCATCAATGTTACTACTTTCTTGTTACCCCTTGTTTGCCTAGTCTACGGTGAAAAATGACTTTAATTTATTATGAAAACTTATTTCTTGAATCGTGCCGTCTTACTCTTCTTCAATTTCGAGAATGATTTCTTGTTTCTTATCGCTCTGAGGATTTGTATCTTGATATATATGATGATATCAAAGTATAGAGAATGTATTATGGGGATTTTTTATTTTTTATAGACCTCAAGAAGTCTCAAAACTCTTTTGAAAAGTTAGAGATCAGTGGTCATGCCTAGATGCCCCATTCCCGCCTTGACACGAATTCAACTTCAATAACATCCAAAGGGCTTGCATAAATTCATCTAGGTTAGAAATTGCAGCTCAGGTTCTCAATCTATCAAATCTCACACATTCAGTCCCTCGGCTTAGGTTTTCGTACACTTCTAGTGCTTCTAATTACCTCCGGATTGGTCTTTTATCTTCTAGAATCTTTCTCTTTAGTCTTTCAACTTCTATCTTCTTCAAATTTGATACTCCAAATTTAATGTTTCGAGTTGGTAGCTCTTCAATTCCACCATTTTAGCTCTAATTCACCTCCTTTATATTCGTTTTACCTCAAGTCGGGATTTCGCTTGTGAAAGTATTATTATTCAAAATTAAGTAGAGATCTGCTCAAATACTTAATATTTAACAAGTTTTAAAATCCAAATAAATGTATAAAACACACTTAATTATTATTAGTATTTTGATAATAAAATTGTTTAGTTCATGAAAAATAAAAATGAAGAAACAGAGAACACAACAATGATTTCTCATGATCTTCTTCTTCTTCCTTTTATTTTTTTTATTTTTTATTTTTTATTTTTTGTGAAATTATGAGAATGAAAATTAAAAGGTTTTTTTGACAAGATATTCGGAGAAAAAGATTGAACTTTAGTTTCCATGCAAGAGTCTAAGTAAGTGATAGAGTATTTCGATTAGAGAATTAAATTAAAATTATTTTTTAGAGCTAAATAGGACAGATGAAAAGAAGAATATGGGATTGGACATGAAAATATTGAACACATTGTAGTTAGGACTGTAAATGTATTGGATATGAAGTGGATCTACCCAAATTCGATCTGATCCGTTAAAAAAAATTATCCTATCCGACCCGATCCGATAATCCAACGGATATTTGATTGTCAAATCCATATCTCATTTGCTATGTTATTGGATATTCTATCCAAATTTAAAAAAATAATATATATATATATAT